GCTAAAGCTATCATGCTTCTTGGATCTGAGTTGTGCAAGCAATGTACGATATATCGGAATGTTTTTCCAGTTCCTCAGGTTCATCCACAAGAACAATCCCGCTCTGCAGAGGTCGACTCTCTCTAATATAGTCTTGAAAAGCTTGTTCTTTTCAAAATTTAGTTTTTGATTGTTGCAGTCAAAATTTCGGCATACATTTATAGGACCCTTTCTTCGATATTCTTCTGCATCCGATAATTCACCATTATCCCTCCCATGATCAAAGTTTAGGTAAGTCCAATACTTGTCAATTTTCTTGCCCATGCTCGTCTAAGAAATAATTAAGTGCGGTTTTCAACGTACATTGGAGTTGAGGCACCAGAGAATTGTCCATGTATTTTTCTAAAATCTTCTGACATATCTTCATAATAGGTTTTTCCCAGAGCCTCCTAATGTCCGTTGGATTTACAATGAACAAAAATTGTTTGCAAATAATGTTCTCAGGCGCTAGATGTGCCTTTTGAAGAGGACCGCTTCACGTAAGCATTCTGAAATCTATTTGTCTGATTCTAATAAACCTGCTTTACTTTTTGCAGTCTAGTCTTGAATGTATCAAATCGTTCTTGTGCCAATTTAACAGTTAGCAAGTCTTTAACAACGATTAAGGGTTCGCTCTGACGTTATTCAACAATAATCTCAAAATAGGTACTTGGTGCGCTTCTCTAGGAATATCAAGCACCACATAGTACATTTAGTTAAAATTTATATTTAACCTGTTAGTAAACGTAAATCATTATTATTGTCATTCCAGAATACAATTACAGCAGGGTAGCAGACCGATATAGATATGATATAATGTTATAGCCTTATTCAGCATGGAATGACCTGGCCCAAAAAAACATATCTCCTTACGCTTTTACTTAATAATACGAATAGTGTCGTTATTTTAGCAACATGTTTGGATTCTGAAATTTCGTGTTACACGTCCTTAATGCATATTCTAGCTGAATGATATTGAAATATGTTTATAGAAGAAACATCTAGTAACCCAGGCTCTAACTGCTGATAGAACATGTGCAAAATAGTTTGTTGATTAATTGTGCATCCTATATACACATTTGCTATAATATTTTTGTAATGCTAGCATAGCGTAAAAAATATCTTTCCATTAATTTAGTATCTTTCTTACACGTTAACTTTCAAAGTTCGCCAAGTATGTCTCCAAAGAAATGAGATCTCAGGGCATATAGTTCATAGTCATTGTGATGTCCTTATTTTATTTCGATCATATCATTTGTACGAACGCGAATTGAGGTTCAACTTAAGAAATCTTAATGACGAACTCTAATAGACTGCTATATAGCCATATTGCAGTAAAAGAATAGGACCCCGGGAAGAAGAAAATACTATCTAAGATTATACTGATTCTATTGTTACTTTCTAAATTTGAAATTAGAATTTAAAGTACATTGCCCTGTTCTTTTGACATCATGTAAATAAGTTTTTTCCAAAGGACTCGCTTAATTGTGTATTAGGCTACAGACTAATCAACCCGCATAGCTTCACTATAACTTCTGACTTGTATTTTTGTCTCTGGACTATAAACTGCATCTGTCTGCAGTGTTTACTACCTCCTGCTTTTCTTTGGAGTTTCACGATTGGATACATTTTGCAAGCTCACATCTTATGTTGTGATAATTTTCTACCCTGGACTTAGATCTTTTTTTTGCACTGTCGAGGTTTGTGATAATATTCAGATCCTAGACCTGCTCATATTATTTGTGGTTGATTATGCGTTTATAAATCAGAAAGTGGCCCAATCCTAACAAGACTAATATGTTTTCAATTATGTTGATATCAATAAAGATTTTCCTGATAAACGAGAAAGATTCAGTCATTAGGCGATGGTACAAGACAAAATGCTTCAATGAGAGAAGTCAGTGTACAGAGCAAACTCTCCCGACCTAAGTAAACTTGATCTTGTTTATTTTCTTTCTTGTCTACTATCTTCCCCTGTGAGTTCCACACATTATATTACTCTAGAAGATTTCTTTGTATAGTATTGTCGTGCTTCAGTATCCCTCGAGCATGTTCGAAAAATACTCCAGTGAGCAAATGGTAGTGTCGCATATTCGCCACGCTAATCACAATTTTTGGCAAATTTTGGCTTCTCCAATCTCAGCACACTGTATATTGACATTTTCAAAAACTTGGTTAGTTAGTTAATTTCCATCAAAAGTTTTAATTAACCTATTGTTGAGATAAAATATTTACCTGTTGTCTATCCGGGAGATGTAGTTGAAAGTTTAATGACAGGAGGTTGCATTTCACTTGAGATTATGTGAATTCATAAATTCCATTCATATGTCTGCCTTGTTCTTGCGGACGCACACCCCAACGGTAGGTACTTGAAAATTTTGGATTTCATCAACTACTTTTTTCGCCATGCATCTGATTCGATATAAACAGCACACCTATCATGCCCTTTAACGTATTACTATACTTGTGAGATTACTTGATTGCGTAATCGATCTCCAGAAGCAAGAGCCTCCCAGACTCTCACAGATGACAATGTATCTAGTTGTAAGTAAGGATATATGTGGAAAACCCATGATTGATATCCTCTCTCATGCCAACGAACATTTACGGTCTTTCCATCATTTCTCTCTTATAAATAGGTATCCAATCCTTCCTTGTATTCGATTTATTACTAAAATGGCCTAGGATAGTGATTCTTGCACTACACATCCTTCATGCATGATTGTTAGGTGACTGATATCTTTTTCAACAATGGCCATGCATCATTAATGCTGATAACTAAGTCAATGCATGAAGTGAAATATTTCTTCTTTCATTAGGAAGTTCCTGCAGAATTTTAAGACTTGTCTTATATTGGTCTCGCTCGTGTATCTCATTTGATGACCGCTTGTTCAAGTATTATCAAAAGTGTATGTGGGTAGCCTCTTTTTTTGGAATTTCAAACTCACTCGGATAGAGCAGTGTGCCGCAACTAGGGGACCAAACTTATTTTTTTCTTGAAAATGCTTGATCCTATTCTAAATGCCGTTTATATTTTTGCCCTCAAAAAACTAACGTAGTCTACTAAGTGCTGTGGTACTATAATCTTGGTGCAAGTTGTCTCTTCGCATGTTAGATTTTCGCTGGATCTTATATCTCCTGGCCAATCTTGGGCTTGTTAATAGCATGTCATATTGTGATAAATAAATCTTGGTTCATGTTCCAAAAACGTTGAGACCTAAGCCATTGCATTCCATACATAATACACTACGTTCGCATAACTCTTAAGCCTCGCTTCCTACTATGTAATTATACCGACAATATTACTCTTTCGGACTTTACTTTCATTTCGCTCTTATCCTTCGTCCTAGTCCATTGATACTATCTAAACTTGTATATTCCTTGCTAAGTATTTCCCTTCTAAGTAGTGCTATGCTCTAATCTCAAAAGAATTCACAGTCTTGTTCTTTCTAACTTGATGTACATGCAACCACAATTAACTATCTATTACCGTTGACAATAACCGTCCGACACGAATGAGTATCATCTGGTTCTTTTCTCCTTTGGGCGTATTTTTGAAATTTGTAGCAATAATACTTCTACCAAGACACGCATGAATTTAGATCACGACCGTACACCTAACAAAAATAAAAGTCATATCTGTTAGTGTAGGTAATATTCAAATAAGAGAAACAAGAAAATATAATGTACGTAATTTAATTGCAATATTTATACTTCTTGGCTCCTTCTTTGTGAAAACGCCCTCATTAGCTGCTACGTGTATAGGGGACATTTCTGGTTTTAACATTCCCGCAAACTTCAAATGTTTGCTATGCACCTCTTTTTGATTTATATTTGTGTGATCTTAACAGGTATGGCAGCCAACCTTCTTCCATTTTGGAACAAAGCAGAGGCATATTTGTCACGAGAACCGCAACTTTCCCCCTATACCCGGCTCCGTTATGATGGCGCTCGTCTTCGTGAAATGATCAAGGACCAACCCAACTAACCCAAATCCTTTCACTAACAATTTTTTAAACATAAAATGAAAAAGAAGAATACAACTTTAATGGCTCATTAGAAACTGTCTCAGTTACTACCCGACCGTAGGTGTCACAAGTCACGAGCATCTAATGAAACTGATCTACAAAACTACTGGCCCAATATTGATACAAAAAATAAATTCTAGGAATTCTAAAGACAACATCCGATGCCGCAAACGCTGGCGGTCACCTTTGACTCAGCTACAATTAGTAATTACCTTCATCAGCTAATAACCCGCTACGTGTGAACAATACCTGCATCACGCGAGGTGCACATGTGGCAGTAAAGATGAGTACTTTCCAACTCAGTGAGTAATAAAACATATATAATGCTAAGAGAAAAATTTCCGGAAAATATTACCAATATAAGCTATAAGTCAGCGATTCAGCACATAAAAACGGTATGGTAAACGAACAACAATACCAGGCATATAGACGAAATAGGTATAAATCATGAATGCAATGCGAATGCACGATGACCGCTGCGGCGCGCAGCCACAGCCGATGCCATTTGGGTACCGCGCTACTGTG